TTAATTTCGGTTTTTTGTTATTCGGCATCTCGTTTCCTGCCTCGGCATGAGATTCAGACATCTTCCTCCGCATCTTCCTCCAGCAATGGCACACTGCCGGAAAGCAAAGCGTACGCTCTCATGCCCCACTGCTGCAAAACTTCTTCTTCTTCTTTAAATTTTATTGGCAGTTGGCAAACCAACTGAAAGGTGCATTTACCGCCACCTACTGGACTGGAGTGTGGGCAGTACTTTGAAAGGACAAGGAGAGGAGAAAAAAAAAAGTAATATATATATATATAGATATATATACAGATATATACACATATATACATATATATATACATACATACCTTCTCCTTCCCCCCCTATATATCTCCATCAAATTCTTTCACTTATCCCAGTATTTTTCAAATAATTCATTAGGAGACTATGTATTTCCCTAGACATTGTTGTTCCTAGCAGATTTCCCACTGTCATGTTTTGTTTTCCAACTTGTGTTTCTAACTCCCTTCTTTCTTCTTCTTCTACCTTTTACGATCTAATAAAATAGGTTTTACTGTCTCTTGTGTGTTGCAGTGGTTGCAAAGACCAGTGGGATATTTTCCTATTCTCTGTAATGTAAAATTTAAACCAGCATGACCTATTCTAAGACGTGTAATTATCTTTCCTTCCTTTGGATTCCTGCTCTGCCTAATACTATTTAAGCCTACTTGTTTTTGTATGTTATACAGATGTCGTCCAGTATCAGTTATGTCCCAGTATTCTTGCCATATTTTGTTTGTATGTCCCTTAATAATGGTTTTGATTTCTGTTCTACATAACGGTATTTGTATATCAACTGTTTCATGCTTTATTGCTCCTCTTGCCAGAATATCTACAATCTCATTTCCTTCCACCCCTACATGAGCAGGAACCCAAAGGAAACTGCAGCAAAACAGCACGACAACTTCTTCTTCTTCTGGTGTTAATGGCGGTTGGCAAACCAACTTAAATGGTGCATAGCACCATAGACATAATAAATACCTAGACGCCTCATTGGCCGCTTTGAGCCGTTGCTGCGATACGTCAACACGTCCGCCAATGTTTGTGAGGGCAAGACACCAAGATGGCGGAGACGTTGACGTGCGGTCGAGCGGCCAATGAGGCGTCTAGGTATTTATTATGTCTATGCATAGCACGACAACTGCTGTAACACTGACCGTCACAGTAGTGATGGGAAGCTCGGCTCTTTTCAAAGATTCGGCTCTTTTGGCTCGGCTCCCTTAGAAGAGACGGCTCTTAATTTAGTATCACTCTGAGCCTTCTATTTTAGCCCAGTTTAGCAATTGTGAATGGTTTGTGTGTTTGGTAAGCATTTTTATTCAGTGTTTTCATAAAAGCCTTTTTATGCATTTTTTTTTCGTTACAAAAAAATACACAGATAATATTATTTAATATTTTAATAAAACTTTAATTGAACAATTGAACACAGAACCACAGCAAACAAATAAATAAAGGCAAAAGTCTTAACATTAAGACACTTTAGTCTTTAGTGCAGGTTGGCATTCAGAAATATCAGATGCCTCAGCTTGGATGTGCTGATGCGATTTCTCCTCTCTGTGATTATTTGTACTGTTTTTGAGAAGTCTCTCTCTGAGGGGACCGATGTTGCAACAATGCAGTGTCTTCCTACCTTAACCAATGCGCTTGCGTTTAAATCCGGATCCCCCGTATCTCTCTGTCGCTCTGTGTACCTGGCCTTAACCACTACACTCGCTATCGTCAGAGCTTGTGTCCCCATTCCTTCTTTCACATAATGGTATGATCCTAGTCTGTCCTCCCATGTGACTTTTTTTTTTTTAACGAAAAAATGCTTACAGGCTTTTATGAAAACACTCAATAAAAAATTGCTTACCAACACACATACCATTCACAATTGCTAAATTGGCCTAAAATTGAAGGCTCCGGCTGAAGATTCAGCTCTCCCCGACGGGAGTCGGCTCTTCTCGTTCGCTACAAAGAATCGGCTCTTAGAGCCGGCTCGTTCGCGAACGACACATCACTACGACACAGCAGAGGGAGTCATTTCACACTCACGGGTATATGAGGTTCCATTTGTGCCATAAATGAACCGACTGCTTTGTGCTTTGTACTACTAATTTGTCCTTGTCTACAGTCATTGCCTATTGTTCAGATAAATTAGTATATGTTGATGTGTATGTGCTCTGTTTATGTCGTATTGTTCTGTCATCTTTAGTGTTGTTCTGTTCTGTCGTTCTTACTGTCGTGCTTCCATGAGCGTGGTAACGTTAGTTTTAAGTTGGATATTCGTTGTATACTTTGCCTATTTGCCACAGTGCAAAAACATAAACGAAGTTAAATCATTCAAATGAATATTTTTTTCAAAATTATAGTGGGCCTAAATGGCTAGTGGTGGGCAGACTGACTTACTATATATGTGCTTTTGCCAGTATCTCATTATATATGCGTACAGTACTTAATTATTTTAGGGGGAAAAGCATTAATTCACTTAGATATTATTTTCAAATTCCAGTTGCTATAGTAGGCTATATTCCTATATTTTGTTTGCCAATACGTCCCTTCATAAATGTACAGTACAGTATAATTTTAAGAAAAATGACTGTACTTCACTTAAAGTTTTTTTTTTTTTTTTTCATTTTAAAGGTT